GCCAATGCTGTGAACTGTAAATAACAAATAATAAAAAATAATATTAAAATGTAATAATTTGTGCCACTTATCAGAGTGCAGGTGTGTCTGAAACATTTTTCTGTATCTCTAAAGCTGTAGGCCTGACAGCTCTTCCTGCGAAACCTTTTTTGGGTCGAAAATGGCAGAAATGACGTCACTCTGACGTCATTAGCGACCAACCTATCATAGCCTTTGGAAAAAGTTTTGGTCACCATGTGCGCTAGCTACTCCCGGGAGGGTACTGAAAGTTTGGTGACGATCGGCGCAGCGCGGCGTTTCTCGAGATATATCAAAAAAAAAAAACTAAAGGGGGGGGGGGCAAAAAATGCCTCCCCCTCCACCGCCTGGAAGGTTAATATTGTATAATTGTTTTCATTCACTCGAATATATACAATCGAAGAAACTGTTCATTGAGTCATACAACCTGGCCTGGTGGTTCCGCGAGCTATAGGTGTTGGGCGTTGGCCTTCATATGTAAAAGATGAGCTCACATATCTACATACATCGTGACACGTGATAAAATCATCTCAGCGAGCCTTTGTGTCGGCCACCCGGCAACACGCATTATTTCGGAGCGGAGTGATGCCGATACCTATAATGCACTCTAGGTACAGAGGGGTCACAGTGGCTGCTCTACACATATGACTTGTCCGGCTCTGAGCGTTGAGTCAACGCCACAGCGGCGCCCAGTCCGGGAGGTGACTTCACTCGTGAGGTGACGCTGCCGTTATCGCCGACATCCGCACCATATGTTCAGTCCAACTGCTACCCCTATCAGAGGCAGAGCCGGTCATTAAACAGATAGCTCAGCAATGTCTGCTTGATATAAACGTTTTATCACATAACGCTTACCGGAACACGAGCCGTTTGCAAAGATTTCGCAACGGCACCATTATCATGGTAAAACCACGGATCGCACGCTGTCGTGGAGGTTTTGCGGGAAGACTGAGACAAATTGTTACACAACCGTATAGGTATGCCCCTTCAACAACTTTACTTTGACGAAGATGCTTTATGAGAATGGCAGATCAATGTCATTGCGCGCTATTTGCAAGCATTCAGACTGCGGTGTAAGTTTTAACTAAGAGCAGTGGGTGGTTTTACTTCACTTTTAGTTGTAACAATATCCGCAAGGAAAGGTACCTCGGTGCCATGCAACGAAACGCCTCCCTTTTATCGACATTATGATAATGATTTAGAAATATAGGTAATGGTATACATTTATAACTTGTTTTGAGAAGTGTTTTAAATGATTGAAGACACGTAGTTATTTCGCACGATCTATGTTAATGTGCAAGCATTTATTTATGCGATCATTTATGTTATTGTTGGCGCATATGTCCCGCCTATAATATACCGACGGCCGGCGCGGGCGGAAAGCCTCCAGTTCCGGTAGTCGGCAGTCTCGGGAGATCCGAGGCGCCTATAATATACCGACGGCCGGCGCGGGCGGAAAGCCTCCAGTTCCGGTAGTCGGCAGTCTCGGGAGATCCGAGGCGCCTATAATATACCGACGGCCGGCGCGGGCGGAAAGCCTCCAGTTCCGGTAGTCGGCAGTCTCGGGAGATCCGAGGCGCCTATAATATACCGACGGCCGGCGCGGGCGGAAAGCCTCCAGTTCCGGTAGTCGGCAGTCTCGGGAGATCCGAGGCGCCTATAATATACCGACGGCCGGCGCGGGCGGAAAGCCTCCAGTTGTGGTAGTCGGCAGTCTCGGGAGATCCGAGGCGCCTATAATATACCGACGGCCGGCGCGGGCGGAATGCCTCCAGTTGTGGTAGTCTGCAGTCGGCAGTCTCGGGAGATCCGATAAACGCTGGGTCATTCCACCTGGCGATCCGTGGTGCAGTGGTGTAGTGGTGCAGCACCACAGAGCATCACTGGTGCTCTGTCACTCCATTTCCGGTAAATGCGACCGTGACGAGGGGGTCAGCCTAACCACCCAATCACCGTAGTGCTGCGTGTCATCGCGGAAGTGAGTGAATACAGCATGCCTTCGCACCAATATACCCATGGATGTATCGGTGTGTACATAGAATGTATAAACCGAATGATGTTGTTATCAATAATATGGCAGAAAGTGTGTGCCTTCTTTTCGTGTTTGAAGCCAGTTCAGCATCAGATTGGAGATTGGGGCACGGTTATTTGGAGTGATAACTTTTCAACGATCGCCAAAAAAGGAAAAAATCGACACCACTGAATTTGCCAAACGCTCAAATATGCTGTATTCAGGTTGAATGCAAGACAAAATCTCGCTTCATTTAGCTCCGTCGAATATAGGAGCTATCCTCACATCGAAACATTCTTTTTTAGAAAGGGCTATTGCCGATGCAGAAAATTTATCATGCGACACATGTTTTATGGGTTATTTTTCACGCCGAATCCGATGGTCATGGTTATATGTGACCTAAAGTCACTATCATGTGTATTGAAACTTGAAAGCATAAAAATTCGTTAATGGGTACTATATATCAAGATTCCTTTACCTACTACTCAGGTTGGTTCATTAGGGAAATAAAGGCGCAGTGGTGACGTCATCAGAGGAAATCCTTCACGTTCAAATGAAGGGGTCATTTGAATTGGTGATTTCGGCTCGATATAGTCCTATTTTTTAGTTTCAGCTCCATTTATCGTAATGAGGCGAACTCATTGTTACATTGGTACAACTTTTGATGACACATAATCCTTGTTTTTTTTTCTCTCCAGCTCGCTCGAAAGGTGATGAAATTTGCATGCATGCCAATGGGTGAAGGGAGATTCTACCGCCGTGGTGACGTCACGGTAAAGGGATTCTGGAGCTCGTGAACGGGGGCTGCTATACATCGTCAAGTCAGGGAAAAGAAAAAAGTCCATTTTTAGTTTTTTAACATAAAAATGCATTTTTCTAGACGAGCTTTGTTTAAGGAATCTAATGCTGCAATTTGTTTTGACATGCGATGGTCAGAACTCAGAAGTGCCTAATAAAACTCACGAAATTACTTATGACGTCACAATGCCATAAACATGTTGTAGCTATTTTTTACAATTTGGGGGTCAAAAACAGGATAGAAGGTTGAAATTTGAGACATCAAATGTTCTTATGACTTATAGTGCTCTATACCTAACATATATTCCGGTTTTTTTAGATGTTGAAATTTTGGATTTAAGTAGGTAGCTGTTTCCAAAAAAAGCTGTTTCCAAAAAAAGTTTTAGGTATGAATTTTTAGGAGTAAAAAGCGCATTTTATGGGAAATACGAGATAGCCATTTTAACCCGCGCCCTGCTGGGGGTCCTGGATTTCCACGCCCTGCTGGGGGGGGGGGTGTTTGAACACCCCCCCCCCTTGTAACTCGGCTCCTGGGCCACGTAGCGATACGCGGAAGGCGGCGTTCGAAAGAGCGTAAAAAATAATGACGAAATCACTTCGGTCAATTTTTTGGTCAGGTCAAAGGTCAGGTCACCAGAGGTCATTGAAGGCAAAATTTCGCCGATTTCCAGGTCGAATGTCGAAAATTTCCAAGAAGCCAACGCATAACTCGGGAACCAATAGAGCTACAGCGCCGCGGAAAAGCGCATTCGATAGCCCTATTAACGCCCTTTCTGAGTAATTCTCTCAGATTTGACCTAACGTCAACGGTTTTGCCTGCAGGGGGCAAAAACTGCAAAAATAGCCGATTTTTTTGAAAACAGTTTTTCTGCAATAACTTTTGACCCAAGCCTTGTACGAGCTTACTTTTACCGGCATCGTGTTCCTCTCGTCAAGACGCATCGAATGAACTATAACTTGACCTTGAAAGGTCAACTTGAAAATTTGACCTCAGGTCAAGGTCATGACCTGACCGGAAAGGGTCATTTTGCATATCAGTCGATCCGTATCGTCGAGCTGAACACATCTAAGGCGTTTTCATCGCTCTAGCATGCCTCTATCAAAAGTTATTTGCGAAAAACTGTTAGATACCATTCGTGACCTAAGATGACCTCAGGGCATAAACAAGGGTCACGGACACCATTTTTAAGTTCAGTGTGTCTAAACCACTTGTAATTCGGTGTTTGGGAGTGTTTATAATGTCTTTCATCCAAAAGAGGCGCATTTCAATTTTCTCCCATTGACTTATAATGGGGAGGTCGCAAAATTGACCTGACCTTAGGTCATCGATATCAAAATTCTGAGATATACATTTTGTACATGCTATTGCTCTTAGCAATCGCTGAAAGTTTCAAAGCGATCGGTCACTCGGTGTAGCTATGACAGACATTGAAAGTTTTTATGAGGTGAGGTCACTTCAAGTGACCTGGTGACCTGACCTTGAATGACCTTGGTCTGAAATTTTCACAACATGTGTAGAATTGATGTATGATAAGGTGTACCAAAAACGGCGGCGCTCCGCGCCGCCGTTTTTGAGATATTCGCGAAAAACCACAAGGGGGGGTGTTCAAACACCCCCCCCCCCAGCAGGGCGCGGGTTAAAGATCTCGTCAAGCTGCATCTATTGGCCTCCCTTCAATTTCCATTTTGCTTTTAACCTTGATTCTTGGCGATATTTACCATTTTTTGACTAAAAATACCATGTAGTCACGTCAGTGAAATGGATAGGATAACTTAAAAAGTTTTGAAAATGAACAAAAGTTGTACACAAGGCGTAAAATTGATGGGGAAAAAGATATACAAAGTTTCAAGTTAATAGCTGAAACGGTTCATGAGTTATTCAAGAAAAACGGACGGGGTCGGTTCCGACCCCCTCCCCCCAGGTGGTCGCGGTTTAAATGAAAAAATCCCCTTCGATGCCGCTTGCATACCACGTACCTAATCGTTAATTGCACAAAGTGGCACTGTAATAGGCAGTAGGCACTAGGCAACCTATTTCCTCTAAAAAAAAAACTGCAAATATCCTTTTATACTTAGGTGTTGTTTTTATTGAATTTATGCTGCTCAAGCTCAGTCCCTATCGTTAACGATACTTCAATTAATTCAATTCAACACATTAATCAAATGATGCTATAATACGCACAACATTAGACAGAAATACCAAAACAAGCGAGATCTATCAGGCGGACATTTGTTTATTGATGCTCATTGCTCATCGCATTGCATGTCGCGTATTACATTTTGATAAATTAAGTTTTGTAAACGATTATATGTTCACACATCCTAACCAATAAAAAGCACACATAAAAAGTTCAATTCAAAACAACAGCTTGTAGCCTTAATGTTTAACGATGGGCATTTAACTGACTTATTAGTTATCAGCAAATAAAACAGCGAGCAAATGCCAAATATTGACTAAAACAATGACCGAAAACGCCACTGTGTGTTCCTCGGAGACTTTCTACCTACACCTGGGCTACTGAGCAGTGAGCAGGAGCTAAGCAGTGTGGCAGCGTCAATCATGCCACGGCAAAAAAGCGCAGCAGTTTTGAACTGATGCACGAATGTCGAATGAAGTTTATGAATGCCAATAATGATCGATTCTAACCTCCAAAGCTGCGTTCGACATCTTGATGCATTTGAGAACTCTCTGTCGAAAAAAAGTCCAAAGATAACAGTCATGCATCACAACCACCACGCACATCACGTCACGTAAACCATGCACATCACATATATGCAACACCATAGGCGGCGGAACGGGGAGGGCACAGGGGCACCGTGCCCCCCTTTGATTTTGGCATTTTAACATTAGCCCTATGGGCGTTGCATGGAAAGAATGGGACCAAAAGTTGGCGGTGCCCCCCCCTTAATTGAAGGTGTTCCGCCGCTACTGTGCAACACCATGTCCGTACATCATACGCTGTTTAACCTACAACCACAAAATCCCACACGGCATCCGATCGACCTTGTACCGGGCCAAGCGCCGACCGAGCGGCGACCTCACTTGACCCTCACCCACACCAGTTCGTAGAGGCTGCTGACCTTGTCCTGTACGCCCGGCAGCTTGGACTGCCGGCCGTACACCCGGTTGGCGTTGACGTGCACCAGCGCGAATCCCTCCTGCTGGATGGCCCTGAAGACGGCGTAGTGTCTGCGCAGGCTGGCCGGTTTGAGTGTCATGTGGACCTCCATGCCCAGCTGGTGCACGCCGCGCAGACTCTGCGGGTCGTTCTCCAGCCAGGACCACTCGCTGCCCTCGATGTCCACCTTCAGGTAGTGGATGTCGCGCTCCGAGTGGCCCAGCTTCTGCCTGATGTCGGTCAGCGTCATCATGTGCCAGCCGTTCGGCCGCACCTCAGTCCGGCCGCTCAGGCCGATCTTGTAGAACCGCGCGCCGAACTCGGTCACGTGTCGGTTGTACGACTTCATGGACGGGTCGAAGCAGTGCAGCTCGCAGCCGTAGCTGGTCATCTGCCGGTCGAAGCTCCACTCGTTCGAGATTCCCACCGAGTAGACGAGACAGGCCCCCGGTGGCGGGGCGTGCTCCGCGTCCAGACACACAAACTTGTCGCCGTCGATCTTCTTACCGCCCGCCAGAGTGCCGCCGAACATGGTTAGCTTTCGGCAGCAGGCCTCCGGGTTTTCGATGTAGCGAAACAGGGCCACGGTCATCGCCGTGTCGTCGTCCGGTGCTGGCGGCAGGGCCGGTGGCTTCACCATCGACTCTGCGTTTGGTGAGAGCTCAGGAAGCTGTACCGCAGGGGTGAGAGATTCTTCAGGAGGGTGGTGCCTGCCAACGTAATGCCGGTCGATTAGTACTCCAATCTCCATGTCTAGTTATTACAAGCGAGCGGGCGAAGCGAGTCTTTTCAATATAACGGCAAAATCTAAGTATGAGCGACCCGGCTCGGCCCAGCCTAACCTGTAACGCTTTCGAGAGGCTTTATCTCAGGCCTCAGCAACCGCTAAACCGATTCACCTACGGTCTTTTTTGTTGTGTACAGTGTAGCCCCATCTATTCTACTCCGCAATGGACTATACTCTTGTTGATGCATCTAGGTGATCGTCTTGTCACGTGCCACGTGAAAAGTCACTGGTGTTCATGTTGTTTTGCTATGTAGCGCTTTTAAGAGGCTTATGTATATCCTAATTGACTATTTTTGGTAGCTTACGAGCATCTCTTCCACAAGCATCGCTATACTCTCGGTGCATGGGGGGGGGGGGGTGACCCAATACATGTGCGACGGCAAAATGAAGCGGTGTCAGGTGTGTTCCCATTACAATAACTTGGCAGTTACGGAGGCGATTGCGCTGAAACTTGACATGTAAGTGGGCACCCACCCAGTAACCGAGACCCGGCAAGCGTCACGGTTGAGGTGCTACTGCACGTGCTCTCGATTTCATTCTAAACGTGATGAAGCCAAAATCATCCAAAGAAAACTGTATGGATGAAAAATACTTCCACTACAGATTTGTCGTGCAAGCTCGACAGAAATAACTATAGCAACGTCTCAACGCTCAGCTGTTATTTCCAGTTTACTGAATGCCTGAGATTAGGGACACCCGTCCACAATCGCGACATTTCCTGGACGTGAAAAACATCATTTTCTCGTGAAGACACACATAGTGAGTGCCCCGCGAAAAAAGCATCCCAAAAACTGCGGCTGATGGCACGACGTGAACCATGGCCTGACACCTGCACAATGGAATGCTGCTCATAACCTGTGGCGATGTTCAGCAGCATGGCTTATTTAGAAACACTAATATCAAAGTTTCTTAAATGTGTAGGAGTAGGTGCGTATAAGGGCATTTGTTGACCTGTCCAGTGTCCAGCGTCAAAACCCGAGGAAGGCAGTTGTATGCTAGATTGTACTGGTGCAAGATAGGTAAAACACATTGTTACGGAGCGAGCGAAGCGAGCGGAGTCTTTCCTTAGATTAACGGAAATTTCTGAGTATGAGCGGCCGGCCGGCCGTGGTCACGCTTTTGCGAGGCTTATATCTCAGCAACCACTTGACCGATTTACACGCGGTAATTTTTGTAGGGTAGCTTCATTCCTTCTACCAAGTATTGGACTATTCCCGATGCATGTGGGTGACCCCTTATGCACGTGCCACGTGCAAAACGAAGAGGTGTCACTTTTGTAATTGTTGCAATATCTCGGTAACTACTGGGCCGATTGCGCTGAGAGTTGGCATGTAGGTAGGCACCCACTAGGCAATGCATATCCATGTGCCAGAGTTGGGGTGCTGTTGCACGTGCGCACGTGCAGGGGTCGTTTCCAGATCTCAGGAACGGCTGGACCGATTGCGCTCAAATTTGGTACATGGATAGGGACCGGTTAGTAGGGTGCCGTGCACAAGTCAGTTGGGACCCATTTTGCACGTGCGCACGTGCAGGGTACCGCTTCCAGATCTCGAGAACGGCTGGGCCGATTGTGCCCAAATTTGGCACATCGCTAGAGACCAGTTAGTAGGGTGCCGTGCACAAGTCAGTTGGAGGTATCCCCTCGCAATTTCGCACGTGCAAGGCCCACCCTCTCGCTCGCTCCGTTAGTCGCCCCAAAAGGCGTTATACTGGTAGGTATGTACAATGTACATGTAGAGTAAACGAATGAATAACGTGAATAGAATCTATTGTTATTTCATGACGACATTCAGCGGGAGGGGCGGGCAGATCGAGGGACACGCTACCGCTCGACATGGAAAGGGTGCAGCACCACTCTAACATTATTGATTTCAGTCAGTACATCTACAGAGCGGCACGTCCGCAGGAGCTCTCAGACGGCGCCTCTGTTGGTGGCAACACGGCACGGATAATCGATGTGACCTGAGCACTTGGAGACGGGACTGCCTCCGCGGATACAGGCACATTGCACATATTGAGCGACTGAACTTTAGCACTGCAGCCCGCACCTAATGGTCATGACTTCATGTTAACCCTATTACTGATGGGCTTTCTGGACTACGTTAACCCTCGCGGGCCCGGGGGGGGGGGCGTTTTTCGCCCCCCCCCCCTGGCGAATATTTGCGATAACTCACGAACGCTTAAGGGTAGCAAGGCGAAACTTTCAGTACCTTTTCTCCCATCAATTTGACATCTTCTGAAGTAAAAAATTTGGACCTAGCCCCCTTGATGACGTCACAAGGTCCATTTTTCTAGACCCCTGCACGGCAAACTTCGGCGTCACAGACGCAAACTTCAAATAGCTGCTAAAAATAGAGTTTTAGAGATAAAGACAAATTACGAGCACGGCTGTGTAGCGTTTGACCTAGAGAAAAATAGAAAAATAGTTTCGGTGACCTGAGGTCAGAGGTCAGGTCAACGACCCCGAAATGTGGTTTTAGTTTTTCGCAAATAACTTCGACAAAAATGGTCCTAGAGCTACGGCAGTGGTACCATCGCATTCGCCTTGTCAAGCCGCGTCGAATGATATATATTTTGTTCGGAAAAGGTCAAGTTTCATGTTGACCTCATGTGACCTCGAATGACCTCTGGTTGACCTTGACACATGAAAGGTCGTTTATGATGGATTTGTACCCGCTGATCACGAATCTGGCATCTATTTTCCTCTAAGCCTTCATTTAGAGCTTCCGGATGGCAAAATTGTCTTATTTATTATTACTTACTTGAATCAGTGAAATAGCCTCTAGCAGGGATACTCTTCTGTGACCTTGACCTTTGAGCAGCCTTGTATCGTAAGATGAACCACAAATAGGGAACTGATAAGCCTCAAAACATTTCAAAACATCTTGGAAGTTTGCACGCAAGATGTGCGAAAAAGTGCCAAGTTTGAGGTCAATTTTGAGCGTGACCTTGACCTTGACCTTAAATTTGGAGCACATTTTCAGAATCCTCAGATTCTCTTCTTTCGTTTGACACCCAATTTTGCCGGTTTGATGCAGCCTGCCGTCCTCTAGAATGCTTACTTTGAGATCACTACACATGTGCCGGTTTTGGCCTTTGACCTTGACCTCTGACCTTGAAAATTGACCTGAGGTCAAAAATTTTGGGTGCATTAGAATCGTCTCGTAAGGACCTTTCGTTTGGTATCGCTTTCGTTTCCGTAGCTCCTTTATTTACGGAGTTAGACAGGGGGGGCGAAAAACGCCCCCCCCCCGGGCTGCGGTGGTTAGGATTACCCCCCGGGCCCGGCCGGGTTAACTGGTGTGGGGGGACGATTCGGCCCCCTTGATATCTCGAAAACTAAATGTCCGATCTTAATGGGACGAACCGGAACGCCATTCGATTGCTCTCATCGTGAACTTTCAGATTGACTATAAAAATAAAAAAGTTCAAAATTAGGGGTCTTTGAAGCAAAAATTTTCGAAAAAAGTGCCGTTTTTCACTTCATCACTAAAAATGTGATAACTTTTTTTATTTTTGACCAATTTTGATGAAACTTCAGCAGTCCCTTCTTCATGGACTGGGCCTTCATATATATTCCGGTATTTTGGTCATTTCAAAAATCCTAGGCGGATTCAGTCTTCAGATAAGCTAACTTGGGATGTTGTTTTGAGTTTTTGTCATGGTATATCATGTGTCTTATGACATGATGTGTCATATAGGTATCATGTAAAATATGCAACGTGAGCACAAAATACGCGTTTTCGTTAAGCATAGGTGGATTCAGGCACGCTAAGACGGGGGGCAGTCCTACATTGATATTACGACATTTCGACATTTGCCGCTAAGCAGCGACTTACTAAGGTTTCTAGGTAGGTTACCCCCTTTCTCAGGTACCTGGATCCGCCTATTCCAATATTTTCATTGTAAAATGACATCACATAGTCTTAAGGTGCATGCATATGACGGGTGGTACCACTGATCACCAGTACAAACCTAAGTAAGTCGCTGCTTAGCGGCAAATGTCGAAACAGTCAAAGCTGGGCCAAAAGTACCCCAAGAAACTCGTCCTGGAGACGCCTCTGCGCAAGCTAAAAACTCAAAAATTTGACACAATGTGCCCAATGAATAGCAAGGAAAAGTCGCCAAATTTCGAGCCCTTAGCTTAAGTCGTTTTCCGTCGAGAGCAAAAAAAAAACTACAGGTTTAAAAAAAAAAAACTACAAAAAACTACCCCCGCCCGCCCCCCCCCCCCCCCCCCCCACCCCCACCAGCAATAGGGTTAAAAGCTTGCAAGACTCTTGTATAGGTACCTAGCTTCTGCCCAGGTTTTGCGGCGTTATTGGCTGTGACGAGAACAGTGACACTCATTCTCGCTTTACCGAATTCAACCAAAAAATATAATCGAAGGAAGCCCTATCCAATATATCTACATCCAAAATCTCCAGAACTGGAGTCGTGAGGTCAAAGTGTACGCTCCATACTGGCGAACTAGAGTCGCAGCAGCTGCATGGCTGAGCCCATGGTTGGCCACGGCACAGCCCAGGCCTCAATATTTTGCGTTCCCATCGCGTCGCGGTGTGACGCTGTTACGTGTCACTGTGTTACGTGTCGCTATGACACCCTATGTCATGCCGATGACCCCCGGCCAGCTCACCATGAGTGTTGAGCCACCAGCAGCATGAAGGTGACCAGCATAGCGGCCGCGACGGCCACCTTCAGGGGGCCGCGGCGCAGCGGCGTCGTACCGGTCATAGTGCCGGCTGAGTGGGCTCCGACGGACCCTGCAGCACCCGACCAGCACCGGGGCACACAGACGGGTCAGCAGCCGCCAGCACCGGGGCACACAGACGGGACAGCAGCAGTCAGCACCGGGTCACACAGACGGGTCAGCAGCAGTCAGCACCGGGTCAGCAGCCGCCAGCACCGGGGCACACAGACGGGTCAGCAGCAGTCAGCACCGGGTCACACAGACGGGTCAGCAGCAGTCAGCACCGGGTCAGCAGCAGTCAGCACCGGGGCACACAGACGGGACAGCAGCAGTCAGCACCGGGTCACACAGACGGGTCAGCAGCAGTCAGCACCGGGTCACACAGACGGGTCATCAGCAGTCAGCACCGGGTCACACAGACGGGTCAGCAGCGGTCAGCACCGGGTCACACAGACGGGTCAGCAGCAGTCAACACCGGGTCACACAGACGGGTCAGCAGCAGTCAACACCGGGTCACACAGACGGGTCAGCAGCAGTCAGCACCGGGTCAGCAGCAGTCAGCACCGGGGCACACAGACGGGTCAGCAGCAGTCAGCACCGGGTCAGCAGCAGTCAGCACCGGGGCACACAGACGGGTCAGCAGCAGTCAGCACCGGGTCAGCAGCAGTCAGCACCGGGGCACACAGACGGGTCAGCAGCAGTCAGCACCGGGTCATACAGACGGGTCAGCAGCAGTCAGCACCGGGTCAGCAGCAGTCAGCACCGGGGCACACAGACGGGACAGCAGCAGTCAGCACCGGGTCACACAGACGGGTCAGCAGCAGTCAGCACCGGGTCACACAGACGGGTCATCAGCAGTCAGCACCGGGTCACACAGACGGGTCAGCAGCGGTCAGCACCGGGTCACACAGACGGGTCAGCAGCAGTCAACACCGGGTCACACAGACGGGTCAGCAGCAGTCAGCACCGAGTCACACAGACGGGTCAGCAGCAGTCAGCACCGAGTCACACAGACGGGTCAGCAGCCGCCAGCACCGGGTCAGCGCCGGTCAGCACCGGGTCAGCAGCAGTCAGCACCGGGGCACACAGACGGGTCAGCAGCAGTCAGCACCGGGTCATACAGACGGGTCAGCAGCAGTCAGCACCGGGTCAGCAGCAGTCAGCACCGGGTCACACAGACGGGTCAGCAGCAGTCAGCACCGGGTCACACAGACGGGTCAGCAGCAGTCAGCACCGGGTCACACAGACGGGTCAGCAGCAGTCAGCACCGAGTCACACAGACGGGTCAGCAGCAGTCAGCACCGAGTCACACAGACGGGTCAGCAGCCGCCAGCACCGGGTCAGCGCCGGTCAGCACTAGCAGTCGGCACCGGGTCACACAGACGGGTCAGCAGCAGTCAGCACCGGGTCAGCGCCGGTCAGCACCGAGTCACACAGCGGGTCAGCAGCAGTCAGCACCGGGTCACACAGCGGGTCAGCAGCAGTCAGCACCGAGTCACACAGACGGGTCAGCAGCAGTCGGCACCGAGTCACACAGACGGGTCAGCAGCAGTCGGCACCGGCCAGTACCGGTTAGCAGCAGATCTCAGAGGTCACCGGTGGACTTATTGTTTGCAAAACATTGATAATTACGGAGCGAGCGAAGCGAACGTATAGTCTTTCGTAAATTAACGGAAATTTCTGAGCATGGCCGGCTGGCTGGCTGTGCAAACGCTTTTGCGAGGCTAATATCTCAGCAGCCACTTGACCGATTTACATGCGGCAATTCTTGTAGAGTAGCTCATTCCTTCTAACAAGTATTGGACCATTCTCGATGCATGTGAGTGACCCCTTATGCACGTGCCACGAGCAAAACGAAGAGGTGTCAGTTTTGTAACAATTGCAATATCTCGATAGCTATACTGGGCCGATTGCGCTGAAAGTTGGCATGTACAATGTACATATGTAAGTACGTAGGCACCCACTAGGCAATGCATATCCATGTGCCACAGTTGGGGTGCTGCTGCACGTGCGCACGTGCAGGGGTCGATTCCAGATCTCGAGAACGGTTGAACCGATTGCGCTGAAATTTAGTAGGGGAGGATGGGATAATTTGGCCGGTAGTGTAATTTGGCCGCCTCTACCTGTACGATATCTGAAAAAAGTGAATGTAATAATTCTAGCCTCTATTCATGTGCCATTGGTGGAACTACCTAATCCGTAGCAAATGTTCATAATTCTCCACCTCGTAAATTTCTTCAAAATCAATAAAACGTGAATTTCATTACAAAATGGTAACTTTTACTTCCACTTGAAAAACTGTATACCTACCAAGCATGTAGTATTTGGGCTGTGAACGAATTCCGAAACTGTTGCGCCATTCTTGGAGATGTTCAGCGTTTCCAAGAGCAATTTCACCTATTTCTGTACACCTACTGTAAAAGAGATTTGCTGCAGGTTTGGTCAAATTAGGTGCATTCGCCGAATAGCCCGTCGTCAAATCGGCTAGTAGAAAATCCCTGATCATAGCAGTCGTTTTCACAAATAATTATGTCTGTTATATGGTGACTACCTATAAGGGCACTTTCTTTGTTCCGACCTGCACAATCTCCGCTCTGCTTATTACCTAAATAAGATGCTTAATTTTTTAAGAAGCCATATTCATTGATCGAATAGGTACCTATATGGCTAGCGACCTCTTCTTTAATAAGTCATTTGAGAAAATAAATGCAAGTTTCGCAAGCTCACACACATTACACACAGACCTTAGACTTGAAGAATGTGTAAACTTGTGAAACATATTTATACCTAAATTTCAATGTTTGCATACCGGCCCTTGAGGAAGCTCATACAGCGAAACCTCGGACAATTGATGTAGGTACCTATCTAATTTTAACTTCATAACGATTAAACGACTTACGAATAACGAATTTATGACGATTCAAAACTAACGGTCTGCGAAAGGTCTTTGCTGCATTTACCCTTTCAACCTGCATAATTCCAACATTATGATCATTTTTCTCGCTGCACTTATTAGATTCAAAATTTCCGTTTTTACACTAGATGATTTAAATCGTCATTAACGTTTCGATTAATATTTTTGAAAGTTCTAACCACAGTTCTAACCTAAAGCCGTTGATATGTTGTTGTGATCTCTCTAGAGCAGCAGCGCGGCCTACATATTGTAAGTACAATAGTCCGTTCCGCTGGGCCTTACCGTGCGTCCGCCGGGAGCGCAGCTGACCGCTCTCGACTCGTGGCCGTCCCCGACTGATTGCGGCTGCTGACTGCCGCCGGCCGGCCGGCCGGGCGGGGCGCGGGGGGCGCACGGACGCACGCCCCCCTGGCCACCGTTACTGGGAACACAGTGACCAGGCAGCGACGGGTGTGGTCGTGGATGTGACGGACACACCGGCCGGCGGGAACAGCGCCTGGTGCCGACCAATACATATGTACATGGGGACGGCGGTCGGCGCCGCAGTTCCGGGAGTTGTAGGTATGTATACCTACGGCTCTGGCGAGATTAAGATAATGATATAAATAGTGACGTTCTCGGCGGTATGCCGATCATGACAACATTAATTGCTATGTCCTAAACAAATTGCCACGTCTTGCAGTCTAAGGTGAACCTGCAATAAATGATGCGTGAGCTACATGGTCCGGCATAAGTTTTATCCTCTAAAAAATGTTTTCTCTAAGTTACTACATAGGGGACAGCGATTCTCTTTAGCGTTCATTTTATTCTCCACGAACAGGGACTTACATACGAGCGCAATTTGCATGTTGGCAACTAGGTTGTGCAGTAAATACGGCTGGATTGTTTTATCATGCCCGTTTGTGCTGTAACGACAAGGCGCCGAGGCTGGTCGCCGGCTTCTGTTTGTCCAGGTTCTGCTGGACGACAGCCCGAAGTTCGTCGATCAGGATGAGGTCCGGACTCCGGAGGGCAGCCGGCTAGCATCTCTTTACTTCAGAAGTCTGGCACGTTCAATTCGCACCACCGCTAGGCCTTGGCAGAGCGATGAGTTGGCGCACCGTCCTGATTGAAAATGCATGTCAACATGTCATTGACCATGCGTTGGCTTAGTATTGGGCCGGAGGTAGATGATGAGCCTCGGAGAGCTCTTCCAATTGCGTCTCACGGTCCTGTTTGGAGATGTGATAGCGCTTCAGCGCGAGCCGCTTGGCCAATTTTGTCGCCAAGTACTAGCCCCTCTTCCCGGTCGCCTTTTTCAATGCGATTTCTGTGGCGTTTGAAATGGTAGGCGCTAGAGATGTCAATCGGATACCAACTTTTTGGTATACCGATACCAAACCGATACCAACTTTTTGGTATACCGATACCAAACCGATACCAACTTGGTATTTGGTATTTCAATCGTAATGTGTTTGGTATTTTGTTGGTATCATGAACCCTCACTAATGTATAAGAGGCTAAGAAATCTGTAAAAAGTTGGTCAATTTTCTTCAATTTCCCAAGTTGGTTTGGTTTCGGTATTTGCCCACGGTTTTGGTTGGTATTTGGTTTGATATCGGTATTCCGATTTTCCGTAATTGACACCACTAGTAGGCGCATGCCGGCAAACTGGAACGATCAGCAACACTGTCAGCAGCCGTACGCTTATCCCACCAACACTGGACTGTGCAGACAGTTCGGCTATAATTAAGACTTGCAAACAAAAACAACAGGCAGATGTCCCAACCAATCAGCAATGACACGCTGTGTCATGGACTATGGAGCATGCCGACTGTCTGGTTCAGCTCCCTTGATAGAAATTTCAGACATTCACGTACCGACGCAGCCGTTCAGGTGGACAATCTCTGTGAAACTGGCCGTAGCTCGGTGATCCGTGACCCGAGGTTCGTTCGTCACCTCATGCTCTGCGGCCAAGGGCCGCGCAATGCAGGAGTCAGCCTGAATCGTTATCCCTCAGGTGTGGACACGATTAGGAACAGGAAAGTGTTGTCATAGGTAGTGGACATAACTTTTGTGGAACGATATATTGTCGTCCTGTAGTGTCTTTCATTGTCAGCAAGACGCTATACGTGGAGTTAAAATGGCGAGCGGCCCTCCCGCCGCGGAATGGTGAGCGTCCTCTGTCAAACGCGGCGCTAGTTTCCGCCTAAGCTCCGCTGGCCCGCTCGACTGCTATGTCATGCGGCACAGTCTACAAGTACAGGTGACCGGTCGCGAGATCGGAGCTCCGTAGCACCGAGCGAGTGTGGCGAAGGTGGGGGTATTCACCGCAGGCGCGGATCCAGGGGGGGGGGGCGACGGGGGCGGCCGCCCCCCCCCCCCGCCATCCGAAAAAGGCGCCCATATCCCGCGGCAGAGAGGGCGCCCCGAGCAGAAGAGCGGCGACACAGCAAAGGTTCATCAGAAATAGGGCGCCTCCAGCAGAAGTTGGGCTCACCAAGCAGGAAAGTGACGCCCAATTGCCTATTCCCAGCAGATGAGAGTCGCCCTAGCAACAGATGGGCGCCCCCAGCAGAAGAGGGCGTCTCGTTACAAGAATATAAAATACCTTCTGTTCAAGAGGGGCGCCCCTGGCAGCGGAAGGGCACCCTTAGCAGGAGACGTGTCCCCCTGAAGAGGAGCGACGCCCCAGCAAAAGGAGAGAGGCGCCCCCATTCCGAGAAGAGGGGCGCCCTGACAGCAGCTGGGCGCCCCAGCAAAAAAGGAGCCCCATAATAATAAAATGGGTGCCACTGGCAGAAGAGGGGCGCCCCAGCAGAAGAGAGGGGTCTCCAGTAGGAGACGGGCGCCCCAAGCAGAAGAGGGGCGCCCCAGCAGAAGAGAGGCGCCACAGCAAAAGTTAATCAGAAATAGGCAGCCTCCAGCAGAGGTTGGGCCCGCCAAACAGGATATGGGCGCCCCATTGACAATATCCGGCAGAAGACAGACGCCCCAGCATCAGATGGGCGCCCCCGGTAGAAGAGGGGCGCCCCATTGCAAAAAGAAAAGGAGTATATTCTACCAAGAGGGGCGCCCCTGACGACAGCGGAAGGGCAACCCCAGCAGAGGGGCGGTGCCCCAGTAAAAGGAGAGGTGTGCCCCGTTCCGAGCAGCAGAGGGTCACCTCGCCCCAGAAAAAAAAAAACAGGAGCCCCATAAGAAGAAAAGGGGTGCCTCTGGCAGAAGAGAGACGTTCCCCGCAGTGGAAGGGCGCCCCCACAAGAGTGGCGTCTCCAGCAAAAGAGAAGTGCCCCCTGCAAGAGAGGGGCATCCCACCAAAAGTTGGGCAGAAGTGGGGCGCCTCCAGCAGAATTTGGGGTCGCCAAACAGGAGAGGGCCGCCCTATTCACAGTAGAAAAGACTCCTCAGCAGCAAAGGGGCGCCCTAACAGAAAAGGTGCACTCGTAGTAGAAGTGGGACGCATCAGGAAGAAGAGGGGCACTTCTAGCAGAAGATGGGCGTCCCAGATAAGTGGGCCGCCTACAGCAAATTGGTCGTTCTTAGAAGGAAGAAATGAGGCGACTTAAGCAAAGTGGGTCTCTCCATAATGGATTAGGCGATCCAAGCAGAGGTTGGGCACCCCCGGGAAGTGAGGCATACCAGCATAAGTGAGACGCTTCCAGAAAAAGGAGGGGGCATCACCGGGAGAAGGAGGACTGCACCAGTAAATGGAGGTCACCTTTTTGCTAATATCTTTTGCTAGGGTGGCGGTGCCCATCTACGACTTTTAACCCGTGCCGTGCTGGTGGTCTGAGTTTTCCGTGTCCTGCTGGGGAGGGGGGGGGGGGCACACTCCCTCGTCTAACTCGGCTCCTGGGCCGCGTAGTGAAACGCGATAAGCGGCATTCGAAAGATCGTCAAAAAACAGGACGAAAACAAAACGGTCATTTTTTAGGTCAGGTCGAATGTCAGGTCACCAGAGGTCATCAAAGGTAAAATGTTGCCTGTTTCAACATTTTTCCGTTTTCGAAGCAGCGGCACATAACTCGGAAACCAATAGAGCTATAGCGCCGCAGAAAAGCGCATTCGATAGCCCTTTTAACCCGCGCCCCGTAGGGCTACCGGCGGACCCTACCACCCGTAGGGGGGGGGGGCCGTTTCGGCCCCCCCTAAGATCTCGGAAAGTTACCGGCCGATTTTCAAAATTCAAACGGCGTTCGATAGCCCCACCCGGGAACTACCTTGTGACCAAATTTCATTGACCTAGGTCAAACCGATGACGTCACAGGTCAGGTCAAAGGTCAGATTTTCACCGTTCACAGGCATTTCAAGAAATGTGTTGTGAAATCGAGTTAATTGGTAATTTATTGAAAACCATCGATGGTGCATTGTTCGTCAAACACATACTTTGCTATCTGAGGTCACTGATACCAGGTCAGGTCACAGCGAGGTCAGGTCACCGGGGTCACAATATGAAAGTGTCGTGTGATACATGTTTTATGGTCCATTTTACATGACAAATGCGATTATGTGGGTTAGGCAGCCTTTGGGGCCAGCCTAGGTCACGTTTTGGTGAAGGTCAGGTCAAGGTGTGGTGAAGGTCGCCGACGTCTGTCGGCTGCATCGTTACCGCGCTGCTTAGCGTCAACACCCCAGCCTGGCCGAGTCGGAGGAGTAGGAGAAGGAGGCCCTCCAGCTGCAGACACTGAAGGAGAAGGAGCTCAACTTGGCGATGACGGGAAGCTGGGCCAGGGGAGCTGCCGACGTCTGTCGGCTGCATCGTTACCGCGCTACTTAGCGTCAACACCCCAACCCGGCCGAGTCGAAGGAGTAGGAGAAGGAGGCCCTCCAGCTGCAGACACTGAAGGAGAAGGAGCTCAACTTGGCGATGACGGGAAGCTGGGCCAGGGGAGCTGCCGACGTCTACCCGCTGCATCATTACCGCGCTGCTTGGCGTCAGCACCCAACCTGACAGAATCGGAGGAGAAGGAGAAGGAGGCCCTCCAGCTACAGATACGGAAGGAGAAGGAGCTCAACTTGACGGTGACAGGACGCTGGGCGAGTGAAGCCGCCGACGTCAGTCCGCTGCACCTATACCGCGCTGCTTAACGTCAGCATCCAGCATACTCGAGTCGGAGGAGTAGGAGAAGGAGCTCAACTTGATGACGGGAAGCTGGGCCGGCGGGGCCGCCGACGTCGGTGCGCTGCGTCGCTGCCGCGCTGCTTGGCGCCTGCGCCTCAGCCTGGCCGACTTGGAAGATGAGGAGTCTCTGTAACCACAGAGTCTGATACTGAAATAGGCGTCTATCATGTTCAAGACGAGGCCCGCGGCCGTGCGTTCCGCCGCTGTCCAGTTCCCAAACTAAGTCTTTGTTCCT